GTGCTTGGAACATCGTATTCAAGAGCGTTAGAGCAGCAGTGGCATAAGCAGGTGGGTGTGAGTCTTGGGGTGTAGGTATTAAAAAAACAAAAAAATTGTCTCTTTTTTCACATCCGGGTGTAAATTTACACTCGGGTGTAACACTTTTTCTCTCTATCTCCCTTTTTCTTTCTCTTTCTCTTTTCTCTTTTGCTTTAAATTATAATACTAAAAAAATACTTACACCCACACAAACACATTTGTCACTGCTGATGGTCTTAATAGACACACTACTTTTGTTTTTTTACCACTTATTATATATATATATATATATATTTTAAATTCCTCGTAAAATTCAGTGTTTTGTGATAATATACAGTGTACACACACCTAAATAAGTATCCATAAAGAGATTCGGACACCGTCCTTTTTCTCTCGACTCAAAGCTCAATCCAACCACAACAAATAGTAACTTCAAAGTCACAAATATTTAATCTTTTTTCCCATTATAGAAGTTTTAAAAAATAAATATATATTCTGGGTTTTGTTGTCTTCTTCTTCCTCAGGAAACCAAACCAATGTCATGTAAAAATCACTAACTCATGACTAGTCATAACCTTTAAATCACTTCTGCTTTAATTTTTTTCTGTTTGTCTTCTGATTTATTCAAAGACAACAAAGTTTTGTTGTTGACAAAATATCTGATCTTTGTTTGTTACATGGGGATGAAGAAACAATGGCAACCGGAGAAAACAGAACGGTGCCGGAAAATCTAAAGAAACAGCTCGCAGTTTCAGTTCGAAACATTCAATGGAGTTATGGAATCTTCTGGTCTGTCTCTGCTTCTCAACCAGGGTACAATCTCCAAATCTTTATCCTTAAACTTAACTTTTCTTGAAAATAAACTTTTTTCTTTGAGACATTCTTGATTTTAATCCAAAACTCAGATAAAACTTTATCCTTGCTTCAAGATTTCGATTTTTGTTCTGTTTTCTCGATTAATCCAATTTTTCTTGCTTATTTTTGTTTTCTCCGAACGAAGAGTGTTGGAGTGGGGAGATGGATATTACAATGGAGACATTAAGACAAGGAAGACGATTCAAGCAGCAGAAGTCAAAGTTGACCAGTTAGGTCTTGAGAGAAGTGAGCAGCTTAGAGAGCTTTATGAATCTCTCTCCCTCGCTGAATCTTCAACTTCCGGTGGCTCTCAGGTCACTAGACGAGCTTTCGCTGCCGCACTGTCACCGGAGGACCTCACCGACACCGAGTGGTATTACTTAGTATGCATGTCTTTCGTCTTCAACATTGGTGAAGGGTAATTCCGTCTTTTCCTTGTAATCCATCTCTAATACAGTATACTCCTTTCATTTCACATTTAAAACACGTAAACTTATCTTTAAATATAAAAATATTTTTCAAGAATATAGTTTTATGTTATTTTATTTATAGTTCAATTATTAGAAGTTGTGAAATATATCAAATTCCAAAGATCAATTTTTTTTATGAGGAAGGTATGTTTTATTTTGTCTCACAAAAAAAAGACAAGAACACCCTTTATTAGCTTGTCTCCTTCAATTCTCGTCTTCCATGTGAGCTTCTTCAGAATCCGACATGAACGAGTTTATTTTTGTTAAAGACGAGTTTAATTATTAACAATGTAATTATCCTTTTTACAGGCTAAAGTTTTATGTTTGTGGTGTTTTGAAGTATATATATATATTTTTAAAAATTTTGGAAATAAGTTTCTACTTCATTTACATGATACAGTTGCTATTCATAACTTTTTAAGAAAAGTCGTACAAAAATGTTGTTCTTCCATTAAGATAAAGATTTGAGATAAAAACATAAAGGGTATTTCCGTCTTTTTGGTAGAATCCCAGGAGGAGCATTATCCAACGGAGAACCAATATGGCTTTGTAACGCTGAAACCGCCGATAGCAAAGTCTTCACTCGTTCTCTTCTAGCTAAAGTAAGTTTTTGCAAATGGAAACGCTAAAGTAAGTCAAGAACGCTATAACTTAAAACGCTCCTTTTTTTTTTCCGTTTGGCGTTTTGCTCTTTAAAGAGTGCTTCGCTTCAAACAGTGGTTTGCTTCCCGTTTCTTGGAGGAGTCCTTGAGATCGGCACAACCGAACATGTAAGCCTATGTCTTCTAGAATTGCCCCAACACTATGAAAATATTCTTAAAAGTACCCAAAAACTTTTGTTACTCATTGTTTTTTGTTCTTTTAGATTAAAGAGGACTTGAACGTGATACAATCCGTGAAGACGTTGTTCCTTGAAGCTACTCCTTATACTACAATATCGACAAGATCAGACTATCAAGAAATTTTTGATCCTTTAAGCGACGATAAATACACTCCGGTGTTTAGAACCGAAGCTTTTCCGACAACTTCTACTAGCGGGTTTGAGCAAGAACCAGAGGATCATGATTCGTTCATCAACGATGGTGGTGCGTCTCAGGTACAAAGCTGGCACTTTGTTGGTGAAGAACTCAGTAACTGCATTCACCAATCGTTAAACTCTAGCGATTGCGTTTCCCAAACGTTTGTTGGAACAACCGGGCGAGTTGCTTGTGATCCAAGGAAGAGTAGGGTTCAACGGTTAGGTCAGATTCAAGAACAGAGTAACCATGTAAATATGGACGATGATGTTCATTACCAAGGGGTGATCTCGACGATTTTCAAAACAACGCATCAGCTAATACTCGGACCGCAGTTTCAGAACTTCGATAAGCAGTCTAGCTTCACAAGGTGGAAGCGATCATCATCCGTGAAAACGTTGGGAGAGAAATCGCAGAAGATGATAAAGAAGATACTCTTCGAAGTTCCTCTGATGAACAAGAAAGAAGAGTTGTTACCAGACACACCAGAGGAAACCGGGAACCATGCGTTGTCCGAGAAGAAACGCCGCGAGAAATTGAATGAACGGTTCATGACATTGAGATCAATCATTCCTTCAATTAGTAAGGTAACCGATTCTAACAATTCTGTTTCAGTAACGGTTCATGTATACGTCTTGATTATAGAAAGAAACTTTACGTTTTACATGTCAAAATATTATGCTTTGAAGGAACTAAGCTTGATTCTCTTTCTGATTCACAGATTGATAAAGTGTCGATTCTTGATGATACAATTGAGTATCTTCAAGAACTTCAAAAAAGGGTTCAAGAATTGGAATCTTGTAGAGAATCTGCGGATACAGAGACGCGAATGACGACGATGAAGAGGAAGAAACCGGAGGATGAGGAAGAAAGAGCATCGGCGAATTGTATGAACAGCAAGAGGAAGGGGAGTGATGTGAATGTAGGAGAAGATGAACCGAATGATACCGGTTATGCTGGTCTAACCGATAACTTAAGGATCAGTTCATTAGGTAACGAGGTGGTTGTTGAGCTTAGATGTGCTTGGAGAGAAGGAATATTACTTGAGATAATGGATGTGATTAGTGATCTTAACTTGGATTCTCACTCAGTACAATCGTCAACTGGAGACGGTTTACTCTGCTTAACCGTTAACTGCAAGGTACAGTCGTTAATCCAAGCTTAATTTAGATTAATTAACCGGAATATGAGTAAACCGAAATTTGATATATACAGTTTTAATGTTGGTTGCAGCATAAAGGGACAAAAATAGCAACAACAGGAATGATCCAAGAGGCACTTCAAAGGGTTGCATGGATATGTTGAGGTCTCACGGTTTAGATTGACAAAATTAGCTATTTCTCCGGTTTAGTTTTCCAATTTTCGGTACTCAGTGATTCTAACCGAGTTTTGTGATTTTGAAGTTTTGGAAGATCCTTTAGAATTCTTGTAAAATCGAATTCCTTTTGGCTCATAACGTATAAGAAGACAATAAGAAAAAAAACAAATATGAGTTCCTTAGCATACTAATATACTGTGAACTTAAATTATGCAAAATGAGAAACACTCGTAGTAGTAAATAAAAGTTGAACATAAGTAAACTAAAAGTAACATTTGCAAAAGTAAATGTAACGAAATATTTCAAGTTCGACCGAAAACACTAAAGTAAAATCTCTAAAGAGACACTACAGTCCGATTTTAATATACTAAATCTTCAATCTCACTTCAAATATTCTTTAGGTATTTTAAGAAAAGTTATGTAAAATTTTTAAAATATATTTAGAAAAGTTAAAGATAGAATTGGTGGTCAAAAGCTGGTAAAAGTGTTCACAAAATACACTGCCTTATAGAGAAAAGAAGTAATGTCATTTCAAATAATTGCATCTAACGCCACTGAGATCTCACTTCAACATGTGTTACCAATTAAACATTAACTTTTATGTCAAAAAATAAAGGAAGAAAATTGTAAGCACAAGGACTTGGACTATATTTGGATTTCGTTTGGTAGCATCAAAGTAACTCTCTCATTTTAGTAAGAGGTTATCTTTATTGCAAATGAATAATGTGGCGTTAGAAAATTGTGTTGAAAATTTCTTGATTTAGAAGAAACTTAAAAAATTTGTAGTTCTTTAATGAGATTGGTTGGCATGGTAGGTGGCCATTAAGGAGATCCATGAATTGGTGAAGCTGAGGTTTAGAAGATACAAACTAGATTTAAATACCGAATATTGAAAGAAGACTACTTTAAAGTTTAAACCTACTTTTCGTTATCTACATAAAGTTACGAAACCACAGCATGAAATTCAATATGGATCAGTCTCTAGTTCATATCTTCCCTCCCAAATTGCACTTAGAAAAGCCAAAAAGGCAAGAAAAAGATGTACCATAGTGCTATTGAAAAGTAAGGAGAAGAATAGGATTAACATATTGTAGAAATGTACCAACACAACTACTGTATACAAGGCCGGTTATGTAATGATTAACCTAGCTACATCTTGAACGTATAAATTCGGTTATATCATGTATATATTTTTCCAGAACTCAGGGTGATCAAGACCTAACTGATATGACTATTCCCTGGAAATGAATGCTTGTTGCATAGAAACACACCAATTTGATCATCCGGGCTAAAACCCATAAGCAACTGGCCCAAAATGTGTGATACCATTGTCTACCGATTACTCATTTATTTCACCAGAAAACCATTGTCTACTAATAATAATAATGATAAACACCATCACTAATTCACCATCATTGTTTGATGATAATCTATTTTACATGGTAGAAGAATTGCAGACACCCATAAATAAAAGACTCAAATTTATGTTTTTACTTTATTCCCATTCGATCGTTGAAGGAGGCTTTGATGTAATGTCTTGAACCACACGGTTTACTCCTTGAACGCTGTTACAGATTTTCCGGGAAACATCGTCCAAAAACTTGTGCTCAAAATTGAACCTGCGGTTTATTTAAACATCACCAATCTAAGTACCCACAGTCACAATATAAACTTGCGTTTTCATTGAATACTTGTTCTCTCTTAGAATCAATGTACCTCTATTTGTACTCAGATCGGATAACGAGTCTTAAATATTGCAACAAAGCAAGTAAATATTGTTAAGTTTCACTATCCGATCCATTTAACCGGTTTGAGACAACCTAGATACCTAAATACATGACTTTAAACACTCCCAACACCTAAACTAATCCGACCTTAAATCTCAAATACCCAAATACTCAATCCTAAGTACCACATGATAGATCTAAACCTCAATTATTCACATCAACACGGTAATGAGTTACGATCAAAAGAGTACTATAAGCATTGGTATTAAGACAAGTAAGAAGCTTACCAGTCTGCAGTCATTCCATCTTGGCTTGTAACTGCCCGTAGAGCAACCACATGAGAATGTGTTCTCTTGTCACCTTGGACTCCAACTGATCTTACAGGCAAGAACACTGCGAAAGCTTGCCAGATCGAATCATAGAGACCCGCATCTCTGATTGATTGGATGAAAATCTCATCAACCTGAGGAGATGGAAAAAAAACCGGAAAAAAAAAAAGATGAGTTTGGTAAATGAGTAAGTACAAAACCAAAGAATTTATATAGCCGGTTTGAAGTTTTCAAGAGATCACCTGACGAAGAACCTCGAGGGCGTTTCCTTGGGTGACATCGCCCAAAACTCTAACTGCGAGTCCCGGACCAGGGAATGGGTGACGCTTCAAGAATCCTACAGGAACATTCAAGATTCTTCCGAGCTCACGAACCTTTATTGCACAAGAAATCAGAGAAAGATCACATACCAAACACTCGACAGTTGCAGACAAGAAAGATAGTAAAAAGACAATAGTAACACACCTCGTCTTTGAAGAGAAGCTTGAGTGGTTCGATCAGCTTCAATTTCATGTCTTTAGGGAGTCCTCCAACGTTATGATGACTTTTGATGGTGTGAGAATGAGTTCTATCAGTACCAGGGGGAGGGCACGACTCAATCACATCAGGGTACAGAGTCCCTTGAACTAGAAAAGCAGGTTTCTTCCCATGCTTTTTTTCTAACTCTTGGGCAAATTGATCAAAAATGTTGATGAACTCCTTTCCGATTATCTTTCTCTTGGTCTCGGGATCCACAACGCCTTTAAGTTCACTCAAAAACCGCTCGGATGCGTCAACACAAGTAACAGGTAGATGCAAGTCTCTCTCAAAGGTATCCATCACACGTTCTTGCTCCTTATACCTACAAAAGGGACCATTCTCAATTAACGAAAAAACACAATAAAAGTGCACATCACAATGAAAGTCGCTTCTTCTCTAACCTTAATAGCCCGTTATCAACAAAGATACAATGAAGCCTATCTCCAATTGCCTTGTGAACAAGAGTTGCAGCAACAGTAGAGTCCACACCTCCTGACAAGGCGCAAATGACATGTTCGTCAGATGCAACGGTTTGGTTAATCACTTTGATCTCTTCTTCCATCAGATCCTCCATTTTCCAATCGGCAGATACTCCACATACATCAAAGAGGAAGTGCCGAAGTGTCTCCATCCCTTTTGGTGAATGAGTTACCTGCAAAATCAAACAAAAACCATTTCATCATAAGCAAGAAATCAACACTTAACCAGCACATCATTTACCGACATTCACGAGTAATTCTCAAATCAATGGACTAACAAAACATTGATATAGTTATTTCAATCAAATAGAAGTACTAAATCCACTTAAAATCCAATCCAAACAATGATACTATATCAAATTATTCAGTCTCTAGAAGCAAACTAACCAACCATTAAATAGCTATGTCAATAAAATTGAATTCCCGAGTTATATTCAAAAACAGTCTCATATTATTCGCTTATGAGAGAATCACAGAACATGAACTAAATTCTCCCAAGTAGTCTCATCAGATTCATTACGGATACGAATAGCTAGTAAGCCAAAGATCCAGACTTTGTCATCCATAAATTTAAAATCCACTATCCAATCCAAACTACAATACTATATCAGATTCCTCACCCTCTAGGATCACACTAACCAACCATTAAAATAGCTATGTCCAAATTAAGAAATGTCTCACATTTTTCACTTATCAGAGAGTCACAGATTCATTAAGATATGAACAGCTAACATGCCAAAGATCCAGACTTTATCATCCAAAAACACTAAACCCACTAAAACTCCAATCCAAAACTATGATCTTATATCAGATTCTACAAGTTTCAATACCTCAGGATGATACTGCAATCCATAAATCTTCTTCTTCCGATTCTCCAAAGCAGCAACAGCTCCTTGAGCACTCTGAGCCACAACTTCAAACCCTTCAGGAAGCTTAACCGCTTCATCACCATGACTCATCCAAACCATTTGCTTCTCTCCACCACTCCCCGACCCAAAAATCTCCGATTTGCCCTTCACTTCAATCTCCATCTTCCCATACTCTTTACTTTCTCCTTCCACAACAACACCTCCAAGCTTCTGCACAATCAATTGCAAACCATAGCAAATCCCCAAAACATGAACACCGTTCGACTCTGCCCACTCCATGAACCCGTCGGGAAAACTCGGCGCGTCGAGCGCGTGAACAGAGTGAGGTCCACCGGAGAGGATAACGACTCGTGGGTTATAGCTAGTGATTGATTTGAGCGATGAAGTTCCACTGATTACGAGAGAGAAGACGTTGAGAGAACGAATACGGCGAGTTATGAGATGTGTGTACTGGGAGCCGTAATCAAGAATCAAAACCGTATCAGGCTTCATCGTCGGCGTCTCCATGGATAGGGTTTTAGAGCTTGGTGCTTGGTGAAGGAACAAAAGAGATTTAGGGTTTTTCACTGTTTATGGCTAAGAGAGGCTTGGCGGGAAGTGGAGGCTTATAAAAACAGAGCAGAAGCAGCAACTAGGGTTTTATGACTTTTGTCTGAATCACAGAAAACGAGAAAGACGAGATCTTTTGTCATTAATAATTGAGATAATGAAAAAAAGTTCGAATCTTTTTGCCCACAATTTCCGGCCGCTGTTAAAACCCTAAATCCCTAATTCCAATAACAAAATCTCAATTGGTCAAAAGTCAAAACCTTTTCAATGAATCAGAAGCTTTTTACTAGAACCATCCCAAGTTCGAATCAAAAGATCGAATCTTTTTAAATTTAGATAACTAATAATAATGAAGAGAAGATTCTCAAATTTTAAACATTTTTATACAGACAAAAAAAATGTTGGAATATATCCGAAGAAATTCAGATTAATCGACATAATATGCTCCTCTGCATTGTTCTTAGCTCATGAGAGATCTCAAGCACCAATTGTTGCTGAATCTTTTCCACAATATCAGACACAACACCTTCAGATTCACCACCAAAATCCAACCAAAGACATGGCTTTATTATATCAGTTTCAATGATCTGATCCAATGATCTTGTAGGAGAGTCGGAGCAGAGTAAACTCCAGTCAAAATGTCTCATCGTCTCGTGAATCAGATCTTTTTCTCTAAGGGATGATTGTAGATTGACGACTCTCGAGCTCTTCGATGGCGAGAAAGGCCAAAACTTGATGTCTTGACGGTAAATTTCGCGGAGAATCTCGTCGGTGTAATCAAGAACAAGAAGAAGCTGGTCGTTGTGATTACCATGTGAGAATTCATCGAGTAGTGATGTTTCTTCGTTGCACCTTGCCATAAGATTAGTCCAATTCAATCTTGAAGCTTCAAGAACTTTTTTCACAAACTCATGAACGGATTCTTTTTCGACAAGTTCAATGTTGGAATCATCAAAAGATAATCCAATCTTCTCTTCTGCAAGAAAGTAACAGAGTTTTTCGGGTAAATCAAACAGATAACTGTGATCCAAGGATGAAAATAATGAAAGCATTGATTCAGGGGCTTTTACCAAGGTTAGAAATTTTCACATTTCCGGGGATAACGGTTTCGTCTTCCAAATGAATCCTCTCAAGAACAGAGACAGGACTCGGTTGTTCCTGCTCCTGTTTCGGGTCATGAATGTTGCAGTCTTGTCTTTCTAGACTCGAATTCGACTCCTGCAACGGATTAAAGCATAAATAAAACATCCAATCCGGTAGAAACATAGACATCTCTACTCTTTTCTTCAGTACTTACTGCTAATGAGCTCTCGAGGCATCTATCTTTCACGAATCCGTCTTCTACAAGAGTTCTCAGACTTTTGTACTCAGCAGAACCTGATTCAAATCTTAACAGTTTAGTTGCATTGGCTCGACGATGATTTGTTAAAGGTTCTGTATTCTTTTACCTGTACAATTGCCGTCGAGAGACCTTAGATTAGAATTGTATGGATTCGGGTCAAAAACCTCGAAGTTTTTGTCCAAAGACCACAACTTGAAGCTCTCTCTTTTCTTTTCCAGCTTCTGTCTTCTTTCTTTGAGCTTTGTCTGCAAGCTACTCAATTGATAAGGAACCTCATAAACCGGTGAAGAATTTAATCTCTCTTGTTGCCTTTCTACCATGAATCTCCTTGGCAAAACATCGTTCTCGATACTTAGCTTGAAAACATCTGATTCTACCCGTTTTTTGCGCCTAAACACCGGTGACTCCGGGCTTCTATGTCCAAATGTACTTGTAGAAACATCACTTGTTCTAAAAGCAGCAGCCTCGGTTTCTCTACCTTTACCGCTACCTTCAGGTTTGTTTTCTGCGTGATTGCTATCTTTGTTAGATCCAACAACGAGCTTCAACTTCTTGGCCAGATGTTTGAATCTCAAGTATACTTTATCGTCAACCGAGCTTGATAATCTAGGCTTCAAGAGAACAATGTTATCCAAATCATCATCCCTTGATGGAGAGTTATCCCGCGGGTCCTTTACCTTACATCCTTCCAAGTCTTGACCTTTTTTCGAGAATGAATTAGGATCTTGTAAGAGTGTAATGAACAATTCTTTGTTCGAACTTAGAATATCTAACGCCTCCATGAACTGCTTAGACCGATCTTTCCCCTTCTCTTCTGCCTTGGAACAGATAAATGTTTCAGCAGCTTCATTTACACAAGCTTGAAGGTTAATCTCTGCACTCTTCTTACAATCTCTCCCATTCTTCAGATCTATTTGATTATCCTTATCATTTGTCTTCTCAATTTCACTCAAAGAAGATTGCTTTTGCATATCAGGGACATCGCAAGTTTCCTCCTTTAGATTCTTGATCCTTCTTATCTCTCTCTCTAGCAATCCCTGAACAGGTTTAGATTCATACTTCTCAAGTTCTCTTTCAGAACTCAAAGATCTTCTCCTTGTTTTAGGCTTACACGAACTCTCTTCTTCCACAATCCGCTGAACAAATCAAGAGATTCAGTTTCACTCAACAATCTCTACTTAAGCTTAAACCCAAAACTAACAATTTTAAAAACTTACATCATTACACTGACACTTCTCATGAAGCTTCTTAAGCAAATCAAGCTGGCTTTTAGTATAAACATTACCTACAAAAAGAGAAAAAATCAAATTAACACTAAGATCATGTTAAGAAATGATCCAAGAACACTGATTTCAAATACCACTAACCAGCAGAATCTCTGATGAATTTCTTCTTCTCTGAACCAAGTCTCTTATTACCAGATTTGACATGTCCGAAATCGAAGAACTTTATCAGTTTCCAACCACAACCTGACTTATAACTCTCGTAGACAAGAGGGCTTTTAGGGAAAATTGCAGGTCCAGGACTCTTGCTACTTCTTGGTGATCGCTTCTTCTCCATTGATGATCAACAACAAATTCACCAATCATTCAAAACTCTCGTCTCCAATTTAGTAAAATCGTTTCTCAAAGACCTGAAAAAACAAAACAAAAAAAAATCTTATCTTTTTAAAAAATCTTACAAACATAGTAACAGCAACAAAAACAGATAATTCTAATAGTGTCCAAAAATTGCTTCTTTTGGATACAAAACTGTCAATTTTACTTCCTGGGTTACCTTTTTTATCTTCCCATAAACCCAAAACTGAGATTTTCATGAAAAAAAAAAACTTCTTATTCATGAAAAAATAAACTTCCTTTAGCCAAAAAAATGTAATCTTTTTCATAAATAAGTGTGTATATCTTACAATATATAAGAGAGATTTGCTTACCAGAGCTTTTTGGTTGAACTGGGTCAGAAAAAAAATGCAAACTTTTCTTTACAGAGTCTGTCTGTGGAGCCAATCAAGCACTCAGCTTTGTGATGATGGAGGGACTGATAAACATGAAAAGTTAAAAACCATAGATTTTTGTTTCTACATAGATTATAAAGGAAGAAGAAAAGTGACCAACATGATTGAGGTTTGGGTTTTGAAGATCTAAAGAGAAAATTATAGGGACCCTTGTCTCTTCATCTACTCATGTAATTAAAAAAGAAAAGATTTTTATTTGATTTTTAATTTGGGGATTTTTTTTGGCCTTAATGAAAAATTTGTAAGGACAATAAATGAAGATTACTGTTTATTCTTGGAGATGGGTCCTCTCGCCATTAAAGAGGGTTTTAGTTTGGCTTATGGAGAAGAAGAAGAAGAAGATGAAGGAAAGTAACTTGTGGAAAAAAAAAGAAAAGGAAATGATTAGAAGTGAAAATAAAATAATCAAAAGACCAGTAGATTTACTGATTTACACTTTTGATTTTAGATGTTCAGACATTTTTTTGCAGGCGACCAGACATTTATAGTGTACAATTTTGTTTTTATACTGTAATAATTTGAAAATATTTTTTTAAAAATAAAAATAAATAATTAAAGATAGTTTTTTTTCCTTAAGTTTGTAAAATAAATGAGAGAAAATGAGAAAGGAGGAGAGGGACGTGAGAATGAAAGAGACATTGAAATTTGCAGATATAAGACAATGCTTTCAAATAAAGCTTTTATTTCTGTCCTCTTCTTATCTCTAAAAATATATACATATACATTTATATATAGAGTAAAACATAAATATTACCATGGTTTTTATGTGATTTTAAACATTAACTTATCACTGTCAATAAAAGGAGTAGTACCTTTTTGGCCCAAAATTTATTTTATCGAAAAATGTAACCGTTGGAATCAAACTCAAATAATGAAATAAGTAGTACATCTGCTTTTAATGATTATTATTTATTACGTATAATATTTTGCTGTTATAGTCTTTCTTGACATTTACCGATTGGTTCTCGAGTCCTTAAATGAATATTATTGGTCTTATTTTCTGCAGATTAATCTTTATTATAGTTAGTAACGTAAAGAATTGTATTGTTCCATCTACGTCTTAGTACGTGTATACACATGCACATTTAATATGTGTGTGTATATATCAAGAAATTAATATCTGAATAACATATATTTATATAGTAGCCGATCCCAATACGGCATGTTCCTTTTTTCTTTCTATTTTACGTGTTAGATATTTGCTACCGGGTCTGTAATAAATATTACAAATATTCACCATAATTTTAATGAGGTTATGCGAATAAATTTCGTAAAATAATCGGAAATTTACATGTGTTTTTTGTTCTCATATTGATTAGTTAAATAACTAGTTTATTGGTTTTCAAGCTAGCTATTAACATGTGATTTGTCGTAGGCATGGGCATTCGGTTGACCATTCGGTTTCGGTTCGGTTACGTTCGGTTTCGGTTAGTTTGGATATGGTAATATAATAACCATTCGGATATTTTAAGAATTTCGGTTCGGTTCGGTTCGGTTACCTTTCGGTTCGGTTCGGTTTGGATATTTAAATAGGTAACCGTAACTAATCAAACTTTTATCACGTTCGGTTTGGTTCGGGTTTTCACCCAAATTAACCGAAATTTACCGAATATAACCGAAACTAACCAAAATTAACCAAAAAAATACAAAAAGAAAATGCAAAAAAATTAAAATATTAGAAAAAAATTAAAATTTGATTCAATTTTGTAAAAGAGTAGTTAACTTTGATAAATATAACAAACAATATTTGAATATTTTGATTATTTAAAGTATTTGATTGTTTTGATTATAAAAATAATTAATTTTTTGA